ATATCATTTATCACCTTTTTTTTTTTTTGATCACCCCTCTGCAGTTCATGCAGTAGCAGGGAGTCACTTCTGGCCCCTGAATTCAAAGAGCTCTATTAATTCCATATTGTTTCCTTAAGATACCCTCAAAGGTCTCTGATGCAGATATGCTAACGCAGAAAATTCAGTTACCATCTTGTGGAAGACTCTGGTATCCATACCTACAAGCCGAATATATCCCTGGCATTTCCTAAATCACACTTTAAAGAGCCTTATTTAACAAAACCTATAACCCTGGGCATTTCTAATGGTAACGCTTTTTTTTTGCATTAATTAATAGAAAAGTCATGTGCATGTGCCATTAACATTTTTCTTTTCCAAATCAGGAAAGGGTATTAAAAGCTTACTGAATAATGTCTGGGGAAGTTGTGTTATTTCTTGACACTGAGACTATTCCCTAAAAATTGTTTCAGACATACAGTTCCTAAAACCATTAATAATGATTGCTGTGGGAATCAACAACCAACCAGACAACCATACTAAATAAATTATCAAAGAAAAACTTACACTAAAAGCAACTATCAGAGGAGTAAACCTTACAAAACTGCCCAAGTCTACATATGCTGATAAGTGTGTGTGTATATATATATACTTATATATAAGTATATATATAATATACGCACACATATACAAAATATATATAGATATATGGGCCTGCATATACATACACATAGGTATGCATGCAATCTAACCATAACTTTTTATTGTGGTCAATAGACATGTCTGCATTTTATAGTCATAACCTTTCAGTAAGATCTGGGGAGATTTTTTTCCATTTGTTGGTGAAAAGCACAAATCTTCAAAGAAAAGGATTTCAGGTCCTCAGTAGCTTTAGTGCCCCCGTTGCACTACTCACATGTTTGTGTTTTCTTAATAGCATGATATATATAGTATGAGTATATATATAGTATGAGTGTACATAAATATATATATAGTATGAGTGTGTGTGTGCACACATATGTATACATATATATACAGTACAAGCAACATCAAGGAAGAGAGCAGAGGTGCTGCAGCCTGACTATGGTGCAGCTGCAATCAACATCAGACTCAAACTCCAAACTTTTGGAGTAAAAGTCCTTGTGGTACCACATAGATACAGGGCATAGCCCTTTTACAGGACTCACTGAACTATAAATTACATGTTCTGTCGCCAGGCCTCCCCAGACAATATGAGCACCGCCACTTTGTCTGAGGATAATTAAGCCTCTAACTCCACTTGGCATGTTGCATTGTGTTGAGTTATTGGGAACTCCGAACACCACTGGTGCTGCTCCACTTGACATTTGTCATCCCTGCATTCACGCACAGCTAGACAGAGGCAAACTGTTTAGGACGCTGGCCATTAAACAAAGCAGCACAGGTAGAAGTTAGCATTTTATGCTGCTGCAAAGCTTCAAAAGCATCCATTCTTTAACCTAATCTACGCACTGAAAATATGCTTCAATAGGGTGCTAGGTATATTAGGAATTATATTCTCATGGGCAAACAGAAGAAGTTACCCACAAAGACTGCTGAAAATAACATTATATTGGGCTCTAAGATGGTGAAATTTCCTCTTCCTGCTGCAAAAACTGAACCATAGCATCTTAGCAAGCTAGCAAGGAAGATGGAACGTGCTGCTGTCCGAGGGTATTGAGCGCTCCCTGACTAATGGCCTTATTCCGAAAAGGGCAGCCAAAGTTAATCAGCAAAAGGAGCAGGGCAACCTGGCACTGGGGAGAAAATAAATAAACTCTGCTATTTGCAAATGATCCTTGCAATCAAAGCACAGAACTGCAGAAAAGTGGCCTGGAAGATGTCATCTTGCACAAGCTCTTGCTCTAGCAGCTAATCAATATCTACACCATTCTCAAGAGAAGGGATAAACAAGGGCCTGTTAAGACCTCTAATGACAGGAACTGATGACAGTGCTTACCTACCTCTACCATTAGAAAAACTTCCTCCTAACCTGAATGTCCCTGATGGCATTTATTTCCATTATTTCTTGCCATATCTATGATGGATCTGGAGAATAGATTACCTCCTTTATATTGGTGAGGCCAGCTCTCACGTCTTCTCTCAAGTTTTTCTTCTCTAGACTAATTATCTCCAGTTTATTCAATCAGTCCTTATAGTTTACGTTTGTTTTTCTCTGAAAAGCCCAGTCACTCCACATCTTTCACGCTGCACATCCCCAAAAGCAAACATAGCCAGACTGAAATAATTTTTCTTTTCATTTAGTCAGCTGCTCCAAGCTTCCAAGATTGTTTTGAAGCTAATCCTGTCCTCCATAGTGCTTGCAAACCATCTCAGCTTTATATGAGCTGCTAATTTAATAGCAGACTGTTTCAGCATCCAGGTTAAAGAAGAGATGGAAGGTACTATGTGACCTCATTTTGTACAGCCTTCCATTTGGGGATGAGCCACTGGTAATTACTCTGTGTAAGGCCATCCACCAGTATTTTTCCTGCCCTGTAGAAGCTTAATTAATGTCACAGATCTCTTGGTCATTAGATTAGGGCTGAGGTAGTGCCAATAGCCTTGCTGAGGCCAAGCTACAAGATCTACTGCCATTTCTGAGTCTACTGGCCATAGGAGAGAGTCAGGTTAGCCAGACACTGCTTCTCCTGGATAGACCCAATTAGTGTCTTACACATGTTTGCTTTTGAAAGGTGCTTTGAGAAAGTCTGATTAACTATTGCAGATTTTTTTTCCCCAGGAACTGATGTTTAACTAGCTGATCTACAATTCTCCTAATTCCCTTTCTTCATCAGAGGTGAATGCAGTGATTGCTCTCTGTCTTTCTCTGCCTGCCCTGTTTTCTAGGGTAGCCTCTACCAGCTGGGAGGTTGCTTCAGCCACGTCTAAATGAAATCATCTTCATTAGAAGGCAGAATGATTTGCAAAGACCCTGTACAGCAATCTGTTGTATTTGAGGGGGAAATAAACCTTTGAAAATGCTTCATTAATAGTGGAATATAATCTTTGGTATGATGAAGCATGAACACTGTACATGAATCCCTACCAAAATACATTTCCTAGGAGGTGCTATGGCTGGGGAGTCCCCTGAAGCCTCCAGCTCTTCCCCCAGTAAGACCAAACTATGCTGCGGAAGATGCTATCCAAGAGGGAAAGGAAACAGAAAGAAGTAACCAAGTTATATATATTCAGCCGGGATACCAGACCAATATTTCACTTTCCTCTCACATCAGTTCTACATATTTCTTCAAGGAGTGTGACACTTCCAGTGGGAAGATTTGATAACAAAAATATTCTTGGTTTTCCTACTGAAAGAACATCATTTTTCTGACTGACATGGGCTATTAACGTAATAACAGTCTCCATCATGCAGGCTATACACACAGAGGAGTGATCAGAAATGACTATTCGGTGTGCAGCCATTCCATTTTGCTCAAAAAAGAAAAACTCTAGGCGAAGAGCTGCAAAACATGACCAAACACTTAACTTGCTTGAGAAAGTCCATTCCTTCAAGAAAATTCTCCCATGTGTCTTGCAATAGACATTTCTCACTAAGGAGGCGACAGTAAAAATGCTGCCTCGGTCTATATTGCCAAAAAAAGACATAGAAGACTTTTTTATGGCTCTTTCTCAAAGCCTTCCCAAATAGAAAATGGAGCTAACAGGATCTGCAGTGAAGCTGCTGGGGGGAAATCACACTCTCTCCTAAAGAAGAAGCCAATTGCGAGGGAATTTGGGTTTTTCCGAGGGCTGATTTCTGACACAGCATATGGACACCATCGGCACTCCGGCATGCTCACCCCGAGGGGGCCCTTTGGAGCGAGGGCTGGTGTAGCAGGCAGGTTCTGCAGCGTCCCTTCAGAAACCAGATGAAGGCCCAAGGGGGGATGCATGGGGTGCTTGGCCATGGGGACGCCGCTGCACCGTCTGCCTCCCGCAGCTCGGGCGAGCCCTGACAGCCGTTTCCCGCTCCCTCCGCTCGCTTTCGGTTTCAGGCGCTGCGCGAGGGTCCCCGCGGCGCCGCTTGCAACTCGCCCGGCCTCGGCAGCGCCGCACGAGGCAGGGGCGCTGGGGCCGCCTTGGGAGGGTTGCAAAGGCCCGGGTTTTGTCAGGATGGGTACTGTGCATTTCCTTGAGCCGCGACAAAAATAATACGGGGAGGAAAGGGAATATTCCCATCTGAAGCATGGAGAACCATGGCAGGGTTTGCGTCTGCAGCACAAAAATGCCTTGAGAAGCTAACAGAAGACAAAAACAAAATGTTTGGTAACTTCGGTGTTCAAATGCTGAATGATGTATATTTTACACCTAGGTTTGCATGACTGAAAACATAACCTCCCTAGGTGTACGCAGTCTCACTGCAGCTGCACTGCTGCCCACGGTTCATGCTGGTACTGGTGTCACCAGTTGTGCTGTGGAACGAGGCAGCCCTGTGTGCAGAACCTGCCGTGCTTGCCCTGGCGCCTACGCGGGAAGGACTTGCCGAAACGTGTCCTCACCACTTCCCTCAGGCTCCCCTGCGTGGGACACGCGCGAGAGGGCAAGCCCAGGGCTGCGCGCGTCCTAGGGAGAGTTTCCAGGGGAATGAAACGGCTGAGGAGACCCGGATGAGCCTATGGGTCTTTCCTGCAACTGAGCGCTGGCTTCCTGAACCCAGCGCATCGTGAACAATAGCAAGTATTAGGGAGCAGTAACACTCTGCTTCCAGTACACAAACCTCCAAATACTAAAACCACCACTCCAGGCACCATTTTCTGCAGAGCAAAAACATGAACTTTGGGAAGCAGCCAGCGAAAAAAACAAAATCATAAAAGCTCTCCAGACCCCATGCTTGCCTTGCAAAATCCTCCGTGATTATTTCACCAAAGACTACGTGTGTTTTGCAGTCCAGCTGTTGAAATAGATAAAGGAGTGATTTACAATGTGCACAGCAGTGCTCTGCTCACCGGCATAGCAGGGAACGAACGAGTGCAGCAAGCAAACATGAGCTGGATACCTACCGACACACGTGTGTCCTTCGTACACCCCGGAGAAGAGCGAAGGGGCCGACGGGTCGTTTCCACTGGCGAGAGGGGAGGCAGAGGCAGCCGTCAACAGAAGTGGGAGCCAGAGGATGCAGAATACGTTAGGAAACATTCGTCTAGACCCTCTCATCCTAAGGAAGGAAAGAAAGCAAAAAAAGTTAGAGGGGGAAAGCACATACGGCCCTTTTTTTTCCCTAAAGATCAGAGAGCATTCTACATCCTTGTGTCATTAGCAGCTTGGGGAGAAAGGATGCACAAGTTCATATATACTTATATACTCAGAGGACTCATATGCTCAGAGGTACTCATATGTAGCACAAGGACAGACTCTCGCCCAGACCCACACGTCTGCCCCCCTGCCTGGATGCTCTCAGGCTTAGAGGCCCGAGCAGCCCGTAGCCCCTCTGCAAAGCGCTCGGGGAGGCTCCCGCAGCCCCCCGTGCCCTCCCGGGTCTCCCGGGATGCTCGGGGAAGAGCCCGAGCTGCCCCGCTCGCCGCTGCCCTCCTTCCCAACCTGCCGGCCCGGGGGGCTGCGCGAGCGGCTCTGCCTCCGCGCGGCTCCTGCCTTAGCGGCGCATGACTAACGACCTTAAACCACAGTCCCCGCCGGAGCCACTCAGCGCTGGCAAGGCAAGACACTCCCCTGAACAACTCGTGCTGCGAAAAAAAAATAACAACCCGCAAATCCTTCCCCTCCTCCCTTCGCTCCTCTACCTTCCTCCACTTGGCAGCGCAGCAGAAAAAAAAACAAAAAAAGAAAGAGCTCAGGCTGCTTCTCTAACATTTTAAAATTTTAGAGTTTTAGACATGGCTTTCCATTTGGAAAAGGTGGGCAAAGACATGAACCCCCTGGTGTGGGTGCTCCTGTGCTCTCAGTGAGCAGATGGGGCCTCAGCCCCCTGCCCACGCACTTTGCAACGCAGCCGGAGGAGGAGGGAGAGGGGGCCGGGGCGGCCCAGCCGCGCTATCCCTGCGGCCTCGGTTCCTATGGAGCTGCCTCGGATGGGTCTCTCCCTTCCGTCGGAGCATGGATGCCGCCTGTCCCCCTGCCCGGCTCTTGCAGACAGGGCTTGTGCTGCCAGGGGCTACTGGGCTGCACGAGGAGCATCTCTCACTTGGCATCTCTGCATGCTTCCTGCGTGGGGGGAGATAAAGGAGAATCGCAGATAATGTCGTAACGGGGAGAATAGGCGATGCAAACCAGCAGATCCTCAGCTTTGAGACGAATGGTTCCCTGCCAAGTCTTCAGATGCTCCCGCAGATCAGTATGACCACGCAGGGACCACGTCAGCTCTAGTGTTCACTGTGGTTCAGCCAAGCCACTTCTGAAGGCTTAGCCCGCGTGGGAGCCTATCACCGGCATCTTCAAAGGCAGGCTCTGAAGTTGGCCCTAACTTTGGAAAAGAGAATTCGCCTTGTGACAGAGGCAGTGTAATCCAGTGGCTCTGAAGAAAAAGGCTGTTAAAAACTTCAATGTGAATGCAAATCCCTGTGTATTTCCACCCTCTCAACCAAGCTGTAGGCTCGCAAATGTATGTTTTCCCTTTTCTGGATTTTTTTTTTAAAAAAAAGCTAAGCCCAAAATAGAGGCACTATCTGGTGCCTGACCTGATCCTACTTATCCTTCTCCTTGTAGCTAGCAACATACAAAGTGAATGGATCCCTTTTTTACAGCAGATAAACAAAAATCATAGTGCAAAGTACCTTATCCATATGCCAATCCTACTGAAATCTGCAGGATGTTTTTCTTAACACAGTAAAAACTTGCTATAAAAAGACTGTAGGCTACAATGATGGCAGCTCCATTAAACCCTTTTTAACACACATATCAGTTGGTTCCCCATGACACTTTGAAGTCCTTTAAAACTGCGCATATTGGCTCATAAGCATCTGCTGCAAAAGAAGAATGCTAATAATAGGCAAGAAAAATCTTCCTAGCACATAGGTCTTTGGAATGGTTTCTGCTTAAATCTGTAGCAAAACACAAATCTAAACAACAGCACTTGGAAAGTATATAGATAGATCCCAAGCTGCTCCCAGGCATGAAAACCTGCAAAGCACAACACCACACAGCTCTATACTGTAGTCAGACTTGGTTTTGTTTTTTTTTCTTTCTTTCATTTGAGGTTCTGGAAATAGCAGTGTGTTAACCCAGAACCCAGTAGGCAAGGCAGAGCTGTTTTTCCCTATACCTTATGCATTAGCAAAGCTCTTAAACCAGTTAAAGAAAATCCCAAAGCTTTTAAAATATACAAGCTGGTCAGACAAATAAAGGATTTGCTGAAAAAGTGACCCCCCTCCACACACTGCCCAAGTTAAACCTTAGTGCTCCTACTCCAATCGGATAGCAACTCCAGCTTTTTGCTGAGAAGATTTTATATAACTAACTTGTAAGTCCTTTATGGTAAGACTTAAAGCTGTTGTGGTACAACAGAAAAGCAGCACATATCATCCCTTAATCAGTACACAGATGATGCTAATGGGAGGTAAAAAAAAACCCACATTGGATCTTTCCCAAAGTAAGGGATTTGCTCATAAAGGCTTCCATTTTGCTTGTGCACAATGTCAAAGCCTGGAAAAACAGGACTAGATGCAGTCCCTTGAGGTGCTGCCTGGATGGAAAACAAGAGGGCAACAGCCCCAGCTGCGAGGGATGGAAAGCTCTGCCCTGGGCAGGGCACAAGGACAGGATCTAAACTAGTCATAACTATATATAGAGATATATCTTCAGCCCATCAATGAGCAGATAAGAAGGGGCATATGCCACGTTCTTTGCAAGCTTTTGGGAAAAAATGCTCCTGCTCACGGGCCTGCAGCCCTCTGCAATTTGCTTACAGGATTGAACAGCCCAATGACAAACTCCCCATCTCGCCGTGCAGAATGCAGCTGTTTATTACAGGTTTTGTTTCTTGGGGATTTTTATTGGACATGAAGGGAGGGATGCAGGCTAGTCTGAAGAGTAATATGACACACAATGGGACACACCAAGCAAGCGTTTGGGTTTTTATTTTCATCTGCCAGTCTTCAGCTCCTTGGTACTACAGGGTTGCAAAGATTAATGGACTGTCACATGTCCCATCTGGTCACTCCTGACTCAAGCGATTCCAGTTGCACCAGGTAGCCTCAAACATCTCTGAATTTAGGCAGAGCTGAGAGAAACTTGCACGTACACAGGCTCTCAGAAAACCTGAGATTCTTGAAGAATGAGGATGCAAACTAGACAAAGCAGAGTAGAACTCGATCTAAATTTCCATGACGTGATGGCAGGGCATGTGCACAGCTAGAGAAGAAAATAAATATCTGCAGGAGAACCCAGGAACAGCAGCATGGTTGGTGAGGTTTGAACGAGGAGCACTCTGTCTTCATTTCATACACTTCAAACTTAGTTCCTGCCACCTAACATAAACTGGCTTGGGTCACAGTGACAGATGAGCAAGGTGATGGATGCCATTTCAACTTCCACTATCGCTGCCCTGATAGAGATCCAATGGGTCTGAATTACAGTTTCTAATTTTCTGACGGTAAAGAAGGGCTTAAATGCATTTATCAACATTCCAGAAGAAAAGAGTCACTCTCTCCCCAAAGGGGACATTTTCATGTGATTGTCAATAAAAGTGTGAAATGAGATGCAAGAATGGAGTTATTCTCAACACTATTTTTTGGTAATAGGTCCCTAAAGACCTGTTTATATATGCAGTGGATACACTGAAAAAGCCTATGAAAAGAAAAGAGAATGCAAAATTCTTGCTTAAGGCCTTAAATAGGACAAGTAATCACGGACATATCATCTGCCAGGATGAGAGGCCGCTCGATTGAAAAACATAGACATTACCTTGAAATATAGGATAGTCATCTCATGAAAGGAGATCAAGAGGCAGTGCATATTTACCCACCCTATTCTGTCAAAGTCACTGCACACATTATCGTACTTTCTTTCTTTTTTTTTCTTTTTTTTCTTTTTTTTTTTTTTTGAACCTCTCAGCCCCTTTTATTCTTTTCAAAATGTCGTCCTTTGCACCCTTTGACTCTGAAGTTCCTGCTGGCTCATTTCCTTGGTTATTTTTCATTACTGCTTTCATTACTCTCTCTCTCTCAGCATTTTTGTGACTGTCACCATCATCCCTGTGGTTGGTGCATTATCCCTGGTGTGGATGAACATTTCCAAAGCCCCATGTGGATTTTCCACTGCACCACATCCAACTGAGTCATTCCCTCTGCCCCAGTTTCCTTATCAGTTGCTGCTTGCAGTTCAAGTCATGCATCTATTTCAGACTCCTTCTCAATTTCATTGTCATTCAAAGCTGCAGGGAAAGTATTTAAACCAATATTTTCCTACACCCATATCTGAAAATTCGTTCCAAGCTATTACCAAGCTGTAGCTGAGATGATTATCCCTTATTCTGTAACCTTTAATGAAATAACTGTCCCAGCCTGCAAGAGCTGTTGATATCTGTGCTTTTGCAAATGTGAATCACTGACACTACTTACTTGAGTTTCAGGTAGAGCAAAACATGGGATCAAAACTTTTGGGGGTTTAGAGAACAGCTGTATTAAATGGCTATGCAGTGCATTTTCTTAGCTGATCAGTTTTAATTCATTAAAAACAATCTTGCTGTTGTGTTCTTACTATGTGCAGGTAGCACTATCTATTCCCATGTAACTTTAGCAGCACAGCTTCTGCCTTTGGAATTATGAGCACAAGCTTTTGCGTTTTCCGACCCAGATAAGATATACAGTTCCTGCAACCATCTAGTCCAAAGAAAATAACCTGGCAAGTAAGGAGCTACAGAGTGTGGCAATATTACTGCAAAAGCACTAATAAGAAAGGATGAGTCAAAACAGTAAGAGCCAGCTGTAAATATACATCAGGAAACCCAGGAAAGGCTCTGCAATTTGGATACTCCTTTAGAGCCGGAAAAAAAGTGAGAGCCAAGCATTACCAACTCGTGAAGATGGCATTTTTCTCCCGTTATTGCATTGCCATAAAGAACTCTTGGGTGGCAAGGCACGCGCGATCCAGGCTACCGCACTCATCCCTGCAGAGCTGTTGCGGTTGCATCGGGTTTTGTCAGAAATGCACCAACCTGTCAGGCTCGCAGCCGACTGAGGGTACGGCAGATGGGGAAAAGCTGCCCCAGATGGTGTTGGCCTATAAGTATTTACAACGGGAGCACACAATGCCAAAGGAGGAGGGGAGAAACATGGTTGTTTATGTTTGTTCCATTTGCTCTTTCCCCCATTACTGCAAATAAAAGAGTGTAGTCGCAGAGCATCTTGGTCCCTACGTGGAATATGTACAGATAAAAGATAATTATTTCCAGTGTTTGGGTTAGTGGACAGTGGAAAAAGTCATAGGAGGTATTTTTAGTACATATCAGAGTCCCCAAGATTATTTAAATGCATTATCTAAGGCTACTACTGGGACTTCTTGTCCAGAAAAGGACCTGATCAACATGTACCCTGATGATAGCAGTTCACAATCCAATAACAGGGCTGGGTTTGAGGGATTTTTAACAGGATCACA